GAGGCGCTGGAGGCAGCGCGGCACGACGCCTCCGGCCTGTCGGAGGCGCTGGAGAGGTGGAGGTCCGAGTACGCGGCCGCCGCGCAGGAGGCCCGGGGCCAGGAATCTATCATGTTGGTGTACCACTTGGTGGCAAATGGCGGCCCAAGCACAGTGCGTATACATACATACAAACATACAAACATGTACACAATCATGTACCTATACATATACACATGCCTGTAACTACACTGGTACATACACATGTACATATATCAACATCTATGTTAGCATCTATCAATCTGCATATTCATGTACGCATGCATACGTGTACACATATAGACATCTATATGTATGTACATGAGTCGATGTGTGTGCATTGCCCTTCCATGTGCATTTGGGTTAGTGGGGCCTGGCGTGCCGTGTGGGCCCAGAAAGCTCCCCGACAGGTCCAAACGCCCTCCAAACTGGTACAAGACCGCTTAAAATTCCGTCTGGGACGCTCTGGCGCCACCCGAGACGCCCCCAGACGGCCTGAAGATGCGCCAAGAGGCCCCCGAGAGCCGCCCAAGAGGCCTCCAAGGAGACCCCTCCCGGGGCCCCAGAAGGCAAAGGCACCCCATTCCTTCAGGAGAGCACATGTTCAGCAGATGTGTGTTTTCCAGTCTCGGCAGCCTCCAGGACGGTCCACGAGGCGCCCAAGGAGGCCCCAAGACCGTATACGAGGCCCCAAACAAGGCCCGAGAAGGCCCCGAGGGAGCCCCCAGAGGGCTTCAAGAGGGTGGCAGCACGGGTCGTGGGGCACTATTTTTGGGGGTTGCAGCTCCCAGCAGGCCTTCGACGGGACGCCCCCAGGATGCTTTCAGGAGGCCCACAGAGGCTCCCGAGAGACCCTGAACGCGCCCTCCGGATTCCCCACGAGACCCCCAAGAGAGGCCCCAAGAGGCTCCCTCAGTGCTCTCAGAGGGCTCCCAGGAGGCCTCCCACTAGGCCTCCGTAAGCGCATGGGTTTTCTCGCGTCTACATCCTGCACGGCGTTCCAGTAGGCTTCAAGAGGCCCTTAACCCACTATCCATTTCGGGGCTTCAAGAGGCCCGTCAGAAACAGGCCGCGAAGCCCATAGGGGCACCCAAGACGCCCCGACCTCACGATCCAGGTCAGGGGTGTGCCGACATGGGCGGGGCGGCGGGATGCGAATCTTGGCTCTTTGTGAAGTACGATCCCTGTGAAGTACGATCCGTGTGAGGAGACAGTCAATGTGCACAGGGGGACGTGACGTTGTGCGACTCCTCCTACAAGTGCCGTACGTGAAGCTACATCCCTCTTGGGCACCGTCCGTGTGACGGGTGTGCCGAGGGGGAGGGAGGCAATGCAAATTTTGTCCTTGGATCCGAAAGTGGAATTCATGGGGGGGCACGATCCAGGTGAGGGACGGCGTTGGTGCGGTGATGTTTTGTGAACCCTACGTACCTCTCGGGCCGTAGGTCTTGGCTCAATCCGCATGACAAGCGCCTTCCTATGATATGTGGGTTACTGCTTCAGTGGAGCTGTGACAGAATCGAACCACCCAGTGATTTTTAGTGGTGATGAGGTGGAGGAAGGAAAGCAGCAAGCAGGTCGTTCAGAGCCCTTAAGGTATTTGCAAGTCTCTCCGCCCGGCTCTCATCGGAAAGATGGAGAAGGCAGGGCACGGGGCACAGGGACGCCGGGGCCCAGTGAGGGCACCCACACGCCACATCTACTTTTATATCTACGTAGCACCCGCCGATGCGGATAAGAGTGAGGGGACGGTGGGGACGTCGGCAGTTTGCGAGACTCTGGAGAAGCCCGCCGCAGGGGCCAAAGTTTCACAATTTATGCAACAAGTCCGCCGCAGGCGCAGATTTTTTCGTTAAACCAATGTGGGTAGGTCGCGGGTGGGTCGTTGTTGGGTTGCGGGTGGGTTGCGGGTGTAGAGGGCAGAAATCCAACCCATAATCACCACCCCGACAAGCGAAGCCGCTTTAGTAAACGCACACATGGAATGAATCAAAGAGGGCAGGGCTGTTCAGTAAACGCCCAGGGCCGTTTAGTAAACGTCTATTGTCGGGTCCGGGTGGTTTTTCCTCCCTTGAGGGTCGGTCGCGAGGTTGGTCGCGGGTGGGTCGCGGGATGGGTCGCGGGTGGGTCGCGGGGTGGGTCGCGGGGTGGGTCGCGGGGTGCGTCGCGGGTGGGTCGCGGGTGGGACGACGACAACCAACAATAACAACAACAACGACCTCAACCACAACCACAACCACAACCACTACAACAACGCAACAAACAGAATTATCACAACGAATTTCCTATTAAGCCACGCGCCCAGGGACAATGAATGACCGTTCGGCCTCCTCACTCTGATATTATATGTTTCGCATATGTATGTAATATAGGTGCACCTAATGTGTATTGTTGTGTTTATGTTTATATATGTATATATATGTATACATATAGGTATGTCTGTATGTCTATGCACATGTACAACTTATACATAAGTATGTACGTACATAGGTGTGTGGATATGCATGCATATCGTGATGTATATATTTGCACACACACATACATACATACATACATACATACATACATACATACATACATACATACATACATACATACATACATACATACATACATACATATATATACTTATGCTTGGGTACCTGGGGCCCAGGGACCGGGCTGGGACACCCTTCTGGATGTCCCCCCCTTTTTGTTTGGCCCATTACATGCATGTTTGACCCTTCGGGGCCTCCCAGGCCTACCCCCCGTCGCTCAAAACAGCTCCAGAGGCCATTCAACAGCGACCCGGGCGGCCTGACATGGGCGAAGACGCCCGAATAAGACGTTCAAGTGGCCCCGAAGATGTCCAAGAAGGCTCCAAGATGCGCCCCGAGAGGGCCCCAAGAGACCAAACTTGTCCCATTTCCTAGTAGGGGAAACGTGCATTAGCAGCATGTTAGCATTGTGGGCTTTAACTGCGTAAGAAAAAGGCCCAAGAGGCCCCACATATCGCGCCAAGACGGCCCAAGAGGCCTCCAAGAGGGGTCTAGGACGGCCTAAGAGATCCCCAAAACGGTCCAAGAGGCGCGCAAGATGGCCCAACAGGGCTCCAAGAGGAGTCCAAGAGGGGGAGCTTCAGCTGACTTGTTGAGCCTCCGCCACAAGTGGGCCCCAGTGGCCGCAGCAGGCGCCCAAAAGGCCCCCAAGGGCCCCAAAAAGAGGCCCCCACAAGGCCCACATGAGGCCATACGAATTTTTCAAACTCGCTCCACGAGGCGCCCGAGAAGCATACCAAGGTACCCCGGATTACAGGTATTCAGGAATCCTCTGGCCAAAATTCAGGCACAAGAGCGGTATGGTCCGACGTTCTTAGGAAAGCGAGCAATTGGTTTGGCGACGGACCCATTCCTATGCAGTCAGTCATGTGTAGCACAGCGCGCGGATCCTCTTCATACACTGCGCGTCGCGGGCCACTGCGGCAAGATGGCTGCTGCGGAGCAGACGTGCACGGGTGCGCTGAACTCTTTGTGGGGCACGATCCGCGTGAAGGATGTGCCGAATAATGTGGATGCCCTCGCCCGAACTCGCCCACTGAGGCCGCAGGTGGACTTCGTCCGGGCACGACCCGTGCGAGGCATGTTCCGAAATGGACGGGGGGACGCCCTGCGAAGCTGCACATGGGTGCCATTTGTGGAGCTCTTTCTGGGGCATAGCCCGCGCGACGGGGGTGGCATGGGCGGGCGGCGCTGTATACTTCACCTTGCCTCTGGGTCGTTCGACGGTGCTCCTCCTGGGCACGATCCGCGTGATGGGGTGTGCCGCAGTGGCCAGGGGGGGGGGGGGGGGGGGCGCAGTGTGCACCCTGAAAGTCGGGGCCGTAGAGGGAGATCCCTGTGGGCCACGATCCGTGTGAGAGTTGTGCTGATGTAGACGGGTGGTGCGGCGGGATGCGAGCCCTGTTTCTGGGGCCGTCCGTGGAATTCCTGACGTGCCACGATCCGCGTGAAAGGTGTGCCAAAGTGAGCGGGGCGAGGCTATGAAGCTTCCTTCTGGTGCCGCAAATTCAGTTACTTGCGGGTGCGATCCGCACGAGGGGCGTGCCAATATGCGAAGCTTGTCCCTGGGGACGTAGGTGGAGCTTCCTGTGTGGCGCGATGCCTATGAGGGGTGCGCCGACATGGGCTCGCTATGTAAGCCAAGCCGGTCCCTGGTCCGCAGATGGAGCTCTTTGAGGAGCGCAATCTGGATGACAATATATGTCCTCCGATGCCGAACACTTTTAGGCTACAAGTAGAGCTTGCTAGGACCAAGCGCGAGCGAAGCGCGTGCGCGTGGTTCACGTGTCTATCTATGCATAGGTCTCTCTCTCTCTCTCTCTCTCTCTCTATATATATATACATCTATAAATATAGATATGTATGGGCGCTGCCCTATTCCCCTCCCTGCTGAAACCGATGGTTGCCTTTTAAAAGAACGAAAACGGACGACGTTGGCCGAGATGTTCTTTTTGCGGGGATCCGCACCACTGTGCACAGCTACGAGGTCAGGAGTCGCGCCATCTGCGATTCTAGGTGTGTACCCGAGATTGTGGAAATATTGAAAGCCTCTACGAAAGGATTCCTATTCAAAGCTAATACGAAAGGAGTCCGACTGAAAGTCTCCCAAAAAACGATTCCGATTGAAACCTTGTACATAAGGATTTCGATTGAAAGCATATACAAAAGGATTTCTACTGAAATCCTCTACAGAAGGATTCCTAGTGGAAGCCTGTGCAAAAGGATTCCGATGGAAAGCCTCTACAAAAGGATTATGATTGAAAGCCTCTACGAAAGGATTCCTTTTGAAAGCCAATACGAAAGGATGCATATTGAAAGCCTCTACAACAAACAAACATTCCGATTGAAAGCTCTTACAAGGGGACTCCTGTTGAAATCCTTTACACAAGGATTCTTATTGAAATCCAATACAAAAGGATATCTAGTGAAAGCCGCTCCGAAAGAATTCCGATTGAAAGCCTTTACATAAGGATTCTTAGTGAAAGCCAAGACAAAAAGGATTCTTAGTGAAAGCCAATACAAAGTAATGTGTATTGAAAGCCGCTCCGAACTAATTCCGATTGAAAGCCTTTACAGAAGGATTCTTAGTGAAAGCCAAGACAAAAGGATTTCTAGTGTAAGCCAATACAAAAGGATTCCCATTGACAGCCCCTTCCAAAAATGATTCCTTTTAAAAACCTCTACAAACAGGATCCCTATTGAAAGCATATACAGAAGGATTCTTATGATCCCGATTGAGAGCCACTGCGCAAGGATTCCGATTGAAAGCCGCTACAAACGCATTCCTACTGAAAGGCCTTTACAAAAGGGTTCCGATTGGAAGCCAATACAAAAGGATTTCGATTGAAAGCCTCTCCAAAAGACTTTCCATTGAAAGTCTTTACAGAAGGATGACTATTGAAAGCCAATGCAAAAGGATGTCTAGGGAAAGCCAACGCCGAATGATTCCCATTCAAAGCCTTTACACAAGGATGCCTATTGAAAGTCACTGCGCAAGGATTCTTATTGAAAGCCCATGTAATAGAATTCCTGTGGAAAGCCTGTACACACGGATTCCTATTGAAAGCCGCTACAAATGGATTCCCATTGAAAGCCTTTACAAAAGGATTCTCATTGAACGCCAACACAAAAGGATTCCGATTGAAAGCCAATACGAAAGGATCCCCATTGAAAGCATTTATAATTTCCAGCACTTCGGTTTCTTGTTGTATGTTATTCCAAGTGTTTTCCCAACGTTTGTGGTGTTTCCCACCGCCAACATACGGAATGCATGTGTATCGCGCCCACACGACGACGAGGACGACGAGGACGAGGATGACGAGGAAGAGGAGGAGGACACGAGAGAGCGAGAGAGAGAGAGAGAGAAGAGCACAAGGGAACGCTCAAACAACAAGGCACAACAGCAAAGCCCAACAGCACCCCCAAACAAATGAACCACAACCTCCAAATCGTCCTGAAGTGTTTTAGGTGGACGGAAGTCCCTCCCAAGAAAAGCTGTCGATCTCAGCAGGGGGCGGGAATAGGCAAGGACCCATGTATATATACATGTGTGTACATATGTTTGTATTTATACGTGTATATATACATATGTATATATATATATATATCCTCCCAGATAACAGGCTGAATATCTATACACTATGTGTTGTCCTGTGGCTTTTGTTGCGAAGTGCCATGGGGCAGGGCCCAGATACCTTGATGTGAATACAGCCAGGATGGAATAAGGACAGGTTTGGGCTCAGGAGGGGCCCGGGTTTCTGGGCCGTTCCTCAGGTGTATGTCGTGGAGCCTGTTTATGGCCTAGGCCAGCCATAGCCAGAAAAGCGCCTTGGTTCCTTAGCACGCGTTGTTTCTGTCATTCGCCCGCAGAAAGGGGGGCAGGGGGGGGGAAGGCTGCTTAGAGGCATCCCTGCCTCTTGGAAGGTGTGGCCTATGTCTGTAGATGTAAGGCCCGCGCCTTCTGATAAGCAGCCTCCTTCTAAGTAGCCTTCCCTTCCCCCCTGCCCCCCTCTGCGCGCCGCCATTTCGCGGGGGGGTGCTGAAGGTGCCCCTGGCCCAAGGCGCCCCCAGCTTTTCGCTCCACTCTGGAGCCCGTGAGGCCCTCTCTGGGCCTCGTGCGGGGTGCTCTGGAGGCCGCGGGGGCCTCCCTGGAAATCCTGGTGGCACACTGGGCCAGGTGCACCTCCAGCCCCAGACGTGCGACGCCCTGATTTTTTCAGAGCGGCGTCCCCGGAAGTCCAGACCCTTTCCCTGGGGCTGGTTCTTCATCCTGAGTCGTTTTTTGACGTCCCCGAGGCCCGGCGAGGACCCCCGAGGCCGAAATTGGCTGAACACCTCCGCCCCGATTTTTTTTGTCACGACGCGATCCCACCTGGGGCCACGCCCCGAAGCTCTGGCAGCGCGATGGCTGCGCGCGCGGCTTTCCAAGAGGCCGCCGCGGTGCCCGAGCACCGCAGGGCGCTCGCGGAGCTCGAGGAGCGGCGCGCGGGCGCCCTGGGCGAGGCGGCCGCCCTCCGCGCGGAGGCCGCCGCGTGCGCCGCGCGCGCGGGGGAGCGGCTCGAGGAGCAGAGGCGGGCCGCGGAGCTCGGCCGCGCGCAGAGGGGGGGCTCGTGGAGTCAAGCATGCCCCCCCTCTGCAGGGGGATCTCCAGAAATAGTCAAAAAGTAGTCGGGGGACGATCTGGTATTCTTTTTTGGCCCATTTGGAATATATATATATATATATATATATATATATATATATATATACACACATATTTTAAACAAATGTTTCACCCAAAATCCCCCTATGGGAGGACATGCTCGACCTGAGGGTATCGGGGGCAACGATGTGGTGAGGATAGGCATAGGCGGGGATGCATCGAGACCCCCGATCGCCCATGGATCGCCGACAGGGCCCGAATTCCCCGGCCCGCCCAGGAAGGTGCGGATTCGCCATCGGGTGCCCATCGCCGGCCTATCGGCAACGTAGCGCCGATTCCAGGTCGATGCATCCCCCCCTGCCCCTATCCCCCCCCCCCCTATCGTTGCCCCTCGAGGTACACCTTAGGCGATGCTTAAGAAAACCTAAGTTTTCGTCCAGAGTCTTGATTATTCTTAACTTTTCAATGTAAATCCCAAGATTTTGATCGAAGTTCTGGGTTTTATTCAAGTTCTGAGACTATGAATTTCTTAACCCATGATTTCTTAAGCATTTCGCAGGGTGTAGGGTGAGGGTCCGAGGAGGAAGAGGTGGCCCTACCTCTGCCCTCTCCTGGTTTTTCGTCCACCCTTGTCTCGGGCCTCCTCGGAGGCCCTCGTCGCCGCCGTGGGATTCGCCTCGACATCCTGGTCGGAGCGCACCCCCGGAGAGATCCCGGGAGTAGTGGGATCGGTACCTTTCGGCTTGCCCTGGAAGGGGAAAGGCTTCTTGGAAGGAGCCTCCTTCCGAAGGAGGCTCCTTCGAAGAGGCGGCCTCCTCCCAAGAAGCCTTCCCCCTCCCCCATACCCCCCCTTCTGCGCGCCGCCAAGGAGCGCGAGGCTGCCCATGCGCGCGAGGAGATCGGCCGCCTGAGCGAGGAGGTGGTGCGGGATCCATGCCCACTGCATCTTGGAGTTTCGGGCTCCATTCCCCAGGCACCCGAGGCGCAGTGGACATGGGTAAGAGTCTTGGCCCTGGGGGCCAGGTGTTCAGCCATAGCCACTGCGCCTCGAAGGCTGTGCGAGCTTGCAGCATTTTCCAGCGGGCCGTTCCTAGGCGTTTTCCAATACGCTTGCCCGGAAGCTCTCCAGAAAGTCATTCGGAAGCTCTCTCCATCTGCAGGTCCTTCCAGAGAACTTCGACAGGCCCTTCGGGCGCCCAGCTACCCGGGTTTTGGACCTCGCAAGTATGCATAGCCACTGCGCCTCGGTTCTTGTGGCGCCCCTTGCGCAGGAGGGGCGATTGCCCAAGACTATGGATACACACACACACACACACACACACACACACACACACACACACACACACACACACACACACACACACGTAAGGTTGTTCCCCCAGGCATTAAGTCGGGCATGTCCTTCTACACGAAGAATATTCAAGGACAGTCCAACAACAGTATGGGAACGATGTTTGGACTATGGTTGGCAAGTTTTGAGTTTGTGTTGACTATTTGTTCTGGTTCTCCCCAAATCCGCCTGTAGGGGGACATGCCCGGCCGAAGACCATGGATGCGTACATGTGTGGTTCTTCCCCCAGGCAACGCCGAGTTACCCAGCTAGTCTCCTCAACGCGGTCCAGCTGAGGCTGGAGCAGTACCGTGGGCGATCCTACGGCCAAGCACAGCGCCCCACGATCCGGGGGCGGCAAAGAGGGGGGTGATGACTAGGGGGGGTGGATATCATGGCGTGGGCCATGATATTTCCCCAGATTTCATGGCGCCTCTTCTTATGTCATTACGTCCCTGGCCCCGCCGCTGAGCCGCGCACATGCCGCCGGTCATGATTTGCACCCCCCCTCTCTTGGACACCCCCCTCTCTTGGCCGCTCCCGAACGATGCAAGATAAGACAGGGCGTAGGGCCGCAGACCTCGCCCGCAGGTGGGGCGGCTGGAGCTGCTGGCCACCGAGCGGGGAGGCGGCCGCGAGCGCGCCGAGGCCGCCGCCCGCGAGGCGACGGAGAGGCTGCAGGCCGAGCAGCGCGGGTGGGAGGCCGCGCGCGAGGAGGCCGCGAGGGAGAGCGAGCGGCTGGGGAGGGAGGTCGAGGAGTTCGGCGGCAAACCGTGGGGGCCACGCGCAGAAGGGGGGGGGGTCTTTGCTGGCTGGTCTGCGGCGCCGTTCGGCGCGCGTGGCTCGTCGGTTCCTCGGCGGTGCTCCAGCCTCGGCACGCCCTCCAGCACCTGCGCCTCGCCGAGGGCGTTCTGGGGCTGCCCGGGTCGTCCCGAGCGGCCGCCAGACGCCCGAGCTGCTGCCCAAAACCGACGCCACGCGCAGAAGGGGAGCAGGGAGAGGGGGGAAGGCTGCTTAGAAGCACTCCTGCGTTTTTGAAGGCGCGGGCCTTGTCTATGGATGAATGGCCAGCGGCTGCTAAGAAGCAGCCTCACTCCAAGAAGACTTTCCTCCCCCTCCCCCTTGCCCCCCGTGAGCGCCGCCCATCGTTGGGGCATTGCAGTTATTTTGCGCAGTGGGGGGTTCAAAACACCGCCACTCTAGACTGCATCTCTGTACTTCGCCTCCGGTCCCATCGTGACGAATGCTCGTTCGGTGCTGCACAGTGGGCAATTGGGCTCGGAGGGCCCCTCAGGGAGGCGAACCGCGTAGCCTCTTTCTTTTTTCGCTTGAGACTCCATCTAAAACAAGTCCTCTCGGGATTCCGTCTTTAGGGTGCGTTAGCGTGCGCTGGCAGCGTCGGGTCATCGATCAGGCAGCGGCGGTTCAGCGTCGATTAGCGTCGATTCAGCGACGACCAGCGACGGCCAGCGTCGGTTCGCACGAGCCCACAAGATGGCACGGGAGGCTCCCATGAGATGCCACCGGAGAGGAGGCCGGGCGCCTGCGGGGCGAGCTGGAGCGGCAGATGGCGGAGGAGTCGCGGAGGTGGCGGCAGGAGGCCCTCGGTGCGCGCGAGCGGCTCTCCGTCGCGGAGGCCGAGGTCGGCCAGGAGCGGCAGAGGGCCCAGCGGCACCGCGGAGAGCTGGAGCAGCAGCTCGCGGAGGAGGCCCGGAGGCGGCAGCACGAGGCTCGGCCACGCGTGGGAGTGACCCCTCGCGGGGGTGACCTAGGTCGGGCACGTCCCTCTACAGGAGGAGTGTTCAGAAATGGTCAAAAAATTGTCTGGGACGACGTTTTCGATCATTTTTCTATTATTTTAAATACTTGTTTGACTATTCTGCATTCTTCGTCCAAAACCCGCCTGTAGGGGGGCATGCCCGATCTAAGGGTGACGTGGCGCGGGCCCCCAAGGGGTCCACAAGCTTCTTGGACCCCCCTCGGGGGAGGTCCTCAAACCCCCCCTTTCCTTCAGGGAGTGTCTGCAGCAACCCCCCCAAGGTTGGGTCGCCCCCCCCCCCCCCCGCCTTCGTGGAAGTTCACAACGCCCTCCCCTTCCCTGGGGTGGATCTGCAAGCCTCCCCAGGGGGGGGTCCACAATCGGTGGTTCGAAGATGGGGTCCTGAGGGATGGAGGCCTCAGGATAGGAAGGGATGCAAGGGTGGATTCACTTTGTATGGAGCACCTCGTCCTGAAGACCCCATCCCTGCAGGACCCCATCTTTGAACCACTGACGCAAACCCCTCCCAGGGAAAGGGGGGGGGGTCCACACGCACTCGCCTTCGCGCCAGGCTTTGGCGTCCCCGCGGTCCCCCGCAGCCGACGCGCGCCAAGGAGGGTCCCTCCTTAGAAGCGCCCAGGGGGGGTCGCTCCCCCGCGTGGCGCGGAGAGAGGCGCTGGGCTCCCAGGAGCAGCTGGCCGCTGCCGAGGCCCAGGTGGAGGCCAGCAGGCGGGAGGCGCTGGCCGCAGCGGACCGCGAGAGGAGCCGGGGCAGCACAGAGGTGTGCGTCGGGCGTGTCCCTCTTATGGGAGGAGGGGTCAACAAGGGTCGAGGAAGAATCGGGGGACGGTGTTTGGGATCATTGGCGTCGTATCTGATTCGACTGCTCCTCACATCCGCCTGTGGGAGGACATGCCGCTGGAGAACCCTCGTCGACACGGCTGGATTCTCCGCGGAATTCTGGCCCGAACGCGCCCCAGTACCAATACTGCTGCTTGTCCTGAAGAACCCTCGTCGACACGGCTGGATTCTCCGCGAGATGTTGGTCCGAACGCGCCCCCAGAGAGGTCCGTGGAGCAGCTGTATCGGCAGAGCCGGGCCGAGGTATAAGATCGAGGTAGGTTCGGGGAGGGTGCCCGAGTATTCTTCGTGTTGGTTGGATGTTCTGGTGCATCCTGGGGAGGGTACCCTTGGATGGTCTGCTTGTGTTGGCAGTCGGAGGGTCTCATGTTCTTGAGGGGTGTTCCTCTGGCCTGGGTCTTATCTGACAGAGTCCCTATCCGGGAGTTTTGAGTTCCTATCTGACTGTACCTTCTGGAAGATAAGGATTTGAGTTCCTACCTGAACTCAAAGAGAAGGATTTGAGTTCCTATATGACTGTACCTTCTGGATTCCTCGAGGAAGGCGGTAGCGAAGGCTCAGGCGCACGGCGCCCGGGCAGCGGCCGAGGTGGCAAGCCTGCAGGGGACCGCAAGGGACAACAGAAACACCCGGACCCCCACGATTGGCGCTCATCGGCCGCGCGAAGGGGGGGGGCAGGGGGAGAGGGGGAAGATTTCTTTAGAAGCAGCCCCCTGCTGCTCAGAAGACGCGGGCTTTGTCTTCAGATGTGAGGCGGGCGCCTGCTAAGCAGCAGCCTCCTTCTAGGAAGCCTTCCCCTCTCACCCTCTCCCCCCTCACCGCGCCGCCAAGTTTACTGAACAGCCCTGGGCGTTTATTGAGCAGCCCTGTCTTGCTCGATCCCTTCCTCAGGTGCGTTTCCCAAGAGGCTTAGCTTGTCGGGATGCTTCTTATGTCAGTGTTTTTCTGCCCTCCAGGACGCGCAACGAGCTGGAGCGCAGGGTCCTGCAGGTCCAGGCCACCAGCGTGCGCGGCATGTGCGAGCTGCGCGAGGCCCACAACGACGAGATCGAGCGCGTGACCGAGGAGCTCCAGGAGGCGCAGCAGGCACAGCTGCTCGGCGCGGAGGCGCTGGCCCGGGAGGGCTCCACGCTGCAGAGCCTGCGCGGCGAGTTGCAGACCGCCGAGGAGGCGAGGCAGCTTGCCGAGGACACCCTTCGAGAGCGGAGCGCGGCTGTCGAGGAGATGGCGCGGGCGACGCAGGACGGCGAAGCTGCGCTGCGGGAGCGGGACGCGGCCATCGCGAGCTTGCAGGACGCCTTGGTGCAGGCGAAGTCGCGCGCCGAGGATGCCTTGGGAGAGCGGGACGCTGTCGTCGCGAGGCTGGAGAGTGCCCTGGCGCATGCCAAGGAGCACAACGAGGAAGCGCTGGCCAGCCAGGCGGCCCTGCTCGATGGTTGCCGGCAGGAGCTGGCGGATTCGAAGTTGGGCCTGCGTCAGGAGCTCCAGGAGGCGCAGCAGGCACAGCTGCTCGGCGCGGAGGCGCTGGCCCGGGAGGGCTCCACGCTGCAGAGCCTGCGCGGCGAGTTGCAGACCGCCGAGGAGGCGAGGCAGCTTGCCGAGGACACCCTTCGAGAGCGGAGCGCGGCTGTCGAGGAGATGGCGCGGGCGACGCAGGACGGCGAAGCTGCGCTGCGGGAGCGGGACGCGGCCATCGCGAGCTTGCAGGACGCCTTGGTGCAGGCGAAGTCGCGCGCCGAGGATGCCTTGGGAGAGCGGGACGCTGTCGTCGCGAGGCTGGAGAGTGCCCTGGCGCATGCCAAGGAGCACAACGAGGAAGCGCTGGCCAGCCAGGCGGCCCTGCTCGATGGTTGCCGGCAGGAGCTGGCGGATTCGAAGTTGGGCCTGCGTCAGGAGCTCCAGGAGGCGCAGCAGGCACAGCTGCTCGGCGCGGAGGCGCTGGCCCGGGAGGGCTCCACGCTGCAGAGCCTGCGCGGCGAGTTGCAGACCGCCGAGGAGGCGAGGCAGCTTGCCGAGGACACCCTTCGAGAGCGGAGCGCGGCTGTCGAGGAGATGGCGCGGGCGACGCAGGACGGCGAAGCTGCGCTGCGGGAGCGGGACGCGGCCATCGCGAGCTTGCAGGACGCCTTGGTGCAGGCGAAGTCGCGCGCCGAGGATGCCTTGGGAGAGCGGGACGCTGTCGTCGCGAGGCTGGAGAGTGCCCTGGCGCATGCCAAGGAGCACAACGAGGAAGCGCTGGCCAGCCAGGCGGCCGTGCTCGATGGTTGCCGGCAGGAGCTGGCGGATTCGAAGTTGGGCCTGCGTCAGGAGCTCCAGGAGGCGCAGCAGGCACAGCTGCTCGGCGCGGAGGCGCTGGCCCGGGAGGGCTCCACGCTGCAGAGCCTGCGCGGCGAGTTGCAGACCGCCGAGGAGGCGAGGCAGCTTGCCGAGGACACCCTTCGAGAGCGGAGCGCGGCTGTCGAGGAGATGGCGCGGGCGACGCAGGACGGCGAAGCTGCGCTGCGGGAGCGGGACGCGGCCATCGCGAGCTTGCAGGACGCCTTGGTGCAGGCGAAGTCGCGCGCCGAGGATGCCTTGGGAGAGCGGGACGCTGTCGTCGCGAGGCTGGAGAGTGCCCTGGCGCATGCCAAGGAGCACAACGAGGAAGCGCTGGCCAGCCAGGCGGCCGTGCTCGATGGTTATCGGCAGGAGCTGGCGGATTCGAAGTTGGGCCTGCGTCAGGAGCTCCAGGAGGCGCAGCAGGCACAGCTGCTCGGCGCGGAGGCGCTGGCCCGGGAGGGCTCCACGCTGCAGAGCCTGCGCGGCGAGTTGCAGACCGCCGAGGAGGCGAGGCAGCTTGCCGAGGACACCCTTCGAGAGCGGAGCGCGGCTGTCGAGGAGATGGCGCGGGCGACGCAGGACGGCGAAGCTGCGCTGCGGGAGCGGGACGCGGCCATCGCGAGCTTGCAGGACGCCTTGGTGCAGGCGAAGTCGCGCCGAGGATGCCTTGGGAGAGCGGGACGCTGTCGTCGCGAGGCTGGAGAGTGCCCTGGCGCATGCCAAGGAGCACAACGAGGAAGCGCTGGCCAGCCAGGCGGCCGTGCTCGATGGTTGCCGGCAGGAGCTGGCGGATTCGAAGTTGGGCCTGCGTCAGGAGCTCCAGGAGGCGCAGCAGGCACAGCTGCTCGGCGCGGAGGCGCTGGCCCGGGAGGGCTCCACGCTGCAGAGCCTGCGCGGCGAGTTGCAGACCGCCGAGGAGGCGAGGCAGCTTGCCGAGGACACCCTTCGAGAGCGGAGCGCGGCTGTCGAGGAGATGGCGCGGGCGACGCAGGACGGCGAAGCTGCGCTGCGGGAGCGGGACGCGGCCATCGCGAGCTTGCAGGACGCCTTGGTGCAGGCGAAGTCGCGCGCCGAGGATGCCTTGGGAGAGCGGGACGCTGTCGTCGCGAGGCTGGAGAGTGCCCTGGCGCATGCCAAGGAGCACAACGAGGAAGCGCTGGCCAGCCAGGCGGCCGTGCTCGATGGTTGCCGGCAGGAGCTGGCGGATTCGAAGTTGGGCCTGCGTCAGGAGCTCCAGGAGGCGCAGCAGGCACAGCTGCTCGGCGCGGAGGCGCTGGCCCGGGAGGGCTCCACGCTGCAGAGCCTGCGCGGCGAGTTGCAGACCGCCGAGGAGGCGAGGCAGCTTGCCGAGGACACCCTTCGAGAGCGGAGCGCGGCTGTCGAGGAGATGGCGCGGGCGACGCAGGACGGCGAAGCTGCGCTGCGGGAGCGGGACGCGGCCATCGCGAGCTTGCAGGACGCCTTGGTGCAGGCGAAGTCGCGCGCCGAGGATGCCTTGGGAGAGCGGGACGCTGTCGTCGCGAGGCTGGAGAGTGCCCTGGCGCATGCCGAGGAGCACAGCGAGGAAGCGCTGGCCAGCCAGGCGGCCGTGCTCGATGGTTGCCGGCAGCAGTTCGTGGAGTCACAAAGTGTTCGGCAACACGAGGCGGAGGCGCTAGCGTTGGAGGAAGCCGCGCTCAGCAGCCTGCGCTCGGAGCTCCACGCTGCCGAGCAGGCGAGGCAGCGCAGTGCAGGCGTGCTGCAAGAGCGGGACGCACTCGTCTCGACTCTGCAGGACGCGCTGGCTCAGGCGTGGGGCAGCGGCGAGGCGTTGTTGTGTGAGCGGGACTCCATCATTGCGAGCCTGCGATGCGACCTAGCACGTGCCACGGGGCGCAACGATGACGACAGCCAGGGTGGCGCGCTCGAGTGCCTGCGTCAGGAGCTGGTCGCCGCCGAGACTGCGGATGCAGACAGCAAAGGTCGAGGAAGAAAAAACGCCAGCTTTCGAAGCCCCGCGCGGATTTCTTGGACCCGCGTTGTGCCCCCCCTTCCCCGGCGTTGCCTCCGGCGCCGCCCCTGGCGCGCTCCGCGCGCCAGGGCGGTGTTCCAGCGCAGATCCAAGAAATCCGCGCGGAGCGTCACAAGTTTAAGTGTATGCCGTTTTCTCTGCTTCTCTAAGGGTCGCTTGCCCGACACGAGGCTGCGCTCGAGAGGCTTCGAGGCGAGCTCCAGGAGGCGCAGCAGGCGCGGCAGCAAGGTGCTGAGACGCTTGCGTCCCGGGAGGGCGCCTGTGAGAGCCTGCGCAGCGAGTTGCACGACGCCGAGCAGACAATTCAGCGCAGCGAGGTGGTGGCCTCGGACCATCGGAGGGAGGAGAAGCGCTACCAACACCACCTGGGTGCCCACCTCCAGCGAAGAGGTCCACGATGCCTTCCCGAGCCGGAGGCTGGGGATGTCTCGAGCGAGGGGGGGGGACCACACCACCAGGGAGACCTCCCTTGCCTCCTCGCATCTCCTCGCCCTGGTGGTGTTAGTGTCGCCGTTCCTTGTCCCCAGGACCACGGCAACATTATTGAGAGCGCACAGCATGAGTTTCAGGCAGCTGCCGAGGTTCGAAGCAGAAACAGCCATAAACATAAACTGTTGGCGCTCCGCGCGGATTTCTTGGATCCGCGCTGCCCCCCCCCCCCCCCCGCGGCGCCTCTGGCGGAGCGCGCCAGGGAGGGAAGCCCAGCGCAGATCCAAAAAGTCCGCGCGGAGTGTCAGAAGTTTATGTTTATACTTTCTGATTCTCGTTTTTTTGAGGTGCACCGCGCGGCATTGGCAGAGCGAGAGGCGGTGCTGGAGAGCCTCATGCACGAACTCCACCAGTCCCAGCAGGCCGCGCAGCACGAAGAGGTGGCTCTGTCTGAGCAGGCGTCGGTGGTCGGAGGCCTGCAGTGTGAGCTCCTGGCGGCCAAGCAGGCAGAGCTGCGCGCCGAGGATGTGCTGCAGGAGCGGGGCACCATGCTGGATGCCCTGCGGCGTCAGCTCGAGGAGACCGAGCAGGCGAAGGAGCGGGGCATCCAGGCGGCTTCCGACGGCGAGGCATCGCTCGGGAGCTTGAGGCAGCAGCTTCACGCCTCTCAGCAGGCGCAGCAGCACCACGAGGCGGCGCTCGCTGAGCACGAGGCCTCGCGGGCAAGCTGGAGCGCCGAGCACGAGGCAGCCCTGGAGCGGCTGGAGCAGACCGAGCTGGCCAGCGGAGACTCCGAGGCACGGCTGCAGGGCTGCGAACAGAACTTCGCCACCCTGCAAGCGCACCTCGCTAGCCAGCAGCTCGCCGCTCAGCAGGAGACGAAGGAGAAACAGCGCCATTCACATATACTCTTGGCGCTCCGCGCGGATTTCTTGGATCTGCGCCGGACCCCCCTCCCTGGCGCGCGGAGCGCGCCAGGAGCGGCGCCGGAGGCGCCGCCGGGGGCTTCAGCGCAGATCCAAGAAATCCGCGCGGAGCGCCAACAGTCAATGTGTATGGCTTTTTTCTTCTCCTAGGAGAGCGCCAAGCTGCGGGCCTCCGTGCAGGCCGCGCAGAGGGAGAACCTGCTCCTGGCCGCCGAGAACGAGCACCTGCGCGGCCGGGCGCGAGAGGCGGCGGAGCAGTATGCGGCGGCCCAGGCAGCGGAGGCCCTGCTGCACATGGAGTCGCACCGCCTGCGCGGGCAAGTCGAGTCGGCCGTCGCGAGGTGCTCCTGCTCCTCCTCCTCCTCCTCCTCCTCCTCCTCCTCCTCCTCCTCATCATCATCATCATCATCATCAGTAGCAGGTGCACCAGCGCGCAGCGCGAGCTGGCCGCGTGCAGGGTGCGCGAGAAGGCCTTCGGCCAGCTGGCCAGCGAAGACAGCGCCTCGGAGCTGCAGGAGCTGTCCTGCCACCTCGAGGAGGTGGTCGGGCAGCTGGCGGTCTACGAGCAGCAGAAGGCCGAGCTGTCCCAGCAGGCTGCCGTGTCGATGGAGGAGCTGACGCTCCAGAGATGCCACACTGAAGACCTGGAAGAGCGGCTGCGGACCACAGTGACGACATGGCTGGCGAAATCGTGCGTTTGGGTTGCCCTAAGGAAGAGTTCAACATTACCCCTTAGTTGCTCGTTCACGCCTCTACATATTAGAATTGGATACCGGATCACGGTTCTCCTGGGTGTCCCGGGATATTTGTTGACCCCCCTTAAGCATGAAACATGGGAGGGTTCACGCGGGTAGTTCTCGCATCTCTGAGAAGTGAGCGGTTCATAGGCTCATTCTTCACCGCCGTTTCCTGGGGACCTTGCGGCTGCTGTTTCCCAGGAGCCGTAGAGTATGATTGCGAAGTTGGGAGATTCAGGTGGAGGGGGGGAGGGAAACGGGCATGACGAGTGGATAGAGGACGAGGAGGCGGAGGAGGAGAAGGAGGAGGAGGAGGAGGAGGAAGAGGAGAAGGGGGAAGGAGGCGGCGCATGAGGCCTTTTTGGGTGTCGTCCTCGTATGTTGCGTGGTTTCTGGGGTGCCTCGGGGGAGGGGGCTTCTGGGAGTCGTTTGATGCCTCCTCGGGGCTCCTGGGACCTATTGGGGGCATCTTGGGGCGTCCTGGAGGCCTCTTAGGTCGTCGTCCTCTTCGGCCGTCTTAGTCTCTGGGGCCTCTTTTTCCAGTATCGTGCTAGTCTGGGAAGCCTTGTAGGCCTTTCTGGGTCTCCAGAAGCCAAATCACTAGAGACCGTCAAGGGACATCAGTGGTGTTTGCCTTTAGAGGCCCTCTTGCAGTCCTGTTTGGGGCCGTCTTGGGAGCTTCTGGCACGCCAGGGCGCCCTCTGGAGCCGATCTGCGGTCCCCTTAGGCCGCCGTGGAGTTGTCGTGGCCCGTTTCGGAGCCATCCGGGGCAGTTTAAGCGATTCTGGGGGGGAGCAGGTGAGTCCGCCGGGGGCCGCGATGAGGCCGCAGGGGCAATTCAGTGGGACCACCTCCTGGTCCTGTCCGAATCCATTGGACTGGGCTCGTGGGGGAGGAGCCTTGGAAGGAGCAACCGTTTGGCGCGCCGGGGACCCCCTAGGTCGGCGAACATGAGAGACAGGACGTACAACACATTGGCCAGTAAAGTCGAAAAGCGCTGCCTCTCATCACGTCACCTCCGGACGTGGAATCCTGACGCTTCGTGGGGTGCACGTCCGGAGCGTGTGGAGCATGTGCGTTTGGGGCCTGCTGCGAGCCTTTGGAGGCCTTTTGACGGCCTCTTGGGGGCATCTTGGGGCATCTCGGGCGCCAATGTGGGGCTTCGTGTAGCTGGTTGGGGGCGTCTTGGGACCCGGGCTGCCTTGCGATTTCATTCGCATCCAGCTCATGTCAAGAAAGTTTTGCACAACGTGTAGTTTCGCTCGAGGAGGCATCCAAGAATCAGCTTCCGAGAACACTTTTAGACGACGTTCTCATGGATCCGCCCTCGGAGTGCTTGCAGAAGGCTCCAGAGAGCCCCAGGAGGTCCACCCAGTGGACCCAGAAGAGGGCCCCAGGGTGCGGGTAGCTCTCGCATCTTTGAGGCGGGACATAGGTGTAGGCGACCCGGTTATAGACCACAGCCCGGGCCACCAGCTACATTTTGGGTCTCTTGCGACCTGTTCGTGCGGCCCGTTGCCTGCGACTTGCGACCTTCCTGTCGGACTTGCTTCAAATTGTCCATCATAAATCGTGAAGACGTGGCCTCATTTCGATTCCAGTGATGGCATTTGGGGGGTATAATCAAGGGCGTTTTTCTGTACATCTGCAGAGAAGATCCCCTAACCCTCATGTGTTGGCCTTCCTAAGCCATGCCGAATCAAACACCCGACTTCGAAAGCACAGGTTCCTTTCGTGAAGGACGCAAGCCCCTTGGGACGACTTAGTATTCAAGCTCACAAGGAGCAAGTGAATCAGGAAGAGACTCACATGGAAGGGGACGGAGAGAGGATAGTTGTATAGTAAAGTCGAGCCTCCCCAGGGGCCCTACTCTAGTCGTTGCACGCGGTAGTGTTTTGAATTTGAGGAGCAAATCCACCGCGTTGCAATGTGTCGTTGCCTTTAGCCAGGCACGGGTACAAGCGTCGCGCCAAAGGCCCTCCGCCCGCGCGCGACAAACAATGGCAGTCGGCCAGCACGAAGCCAGCAATTCGCACAGCGTTCGGAGCTCTGACGAAGGTTCTGCAGCGTAGGTTGAGGACACCCACAGCGCCCAACGAACGTGTTTTCACCCCTTGGAAACTTCCATGGGCCTTGCTGGAACATCTTCCATTACGGCTGTCCGATGTACGCGGTGTTGTTTCTAGTTGCGGGCTCGTTTGGTGTCGTGGACGGCCCACTCGAGCCCCGATCCGAACCCGAGCCGTGTCGAGGGCGGGGGAGGTGACACGGGCCGTTCAAGGCCCGTATCATTTCCCCCGCCCTCGCCTTCAACGGTAGCCCGCTTTGGTTCATTGCATCTTGCTTCGGCCCGGATGTTTGACGACTGCGGTTCAGATGAAGATTCTAGACGCTTCTCGCACCCCCCCAGCCCATGGTCAGGGACGTGGAGGATAATGTAATGAAATCAAGGGTTGGGTATGACGTCGTACCTGAAGAGGAGGAGGATGGAAGATGAATCGGAGGAGGAGCAGGACGAAGATGCGGAGCAGGGAGATGGGGGGGAGGGAGGAGGGAGGAGGAAGGAGGAGGAACGGGCGGATGAGGAGGAGGAGGATGAGGATGATGATGATGATGATGATGATGATGATGATGATGATGAGGAGGAGGAGGAGGAGGAGGAGGAGGAGGGCGAGCAGAAAAGCCAGAGGCCTCTTCGATGCCTCTCGGAGTTTCTTCGGATGTCTTTCGAAAGTTTCTTGGAGTCCTCTTGGGGCGTCTTGGGGGTCTCGTGTCAGTCCCAGGGGCCGCCTGAGGCGTTTTGGGTGCCTCTGGGGGGCCTCTTGGAGCCTCGTTGAGGTTTTTTGGGGAGCTTCTCCGGGGCATTCTCGTGGCATCGTGGGGGCCTCTTTGGGGCTCCTGGGCACCTCTTGGGGCCGTCTGGGGGCACCCTTGGGAGCATTGGGGGCCATCTTGGGGGCCATCTAGAAGGAGATCGATCAAAGGAGGTGGGCTCCTTACTAAGGCCCCCCCCCACCTCCAGAGGCTAACATGTGGCCAAGAACTTCGTACACTTAATGATTTTGACGTTTTCCCCGAGACCTCTTGGTGCGTCTTGGGTGCCTCTGGTGGACTTCGTGCGGCCTCTTGGGAGCATCTTGGGGGCCTCTTTGGGGCCTCTTGGGAGCTTGCTGGGGGCGTCGTGGGCACCTCTTGGGGCTCTCTTGGGACACACTTGGGAGCCTCCGGGGCTATCTTAGGGGCCATCTCGGAGGAGATCGATCGAAGGAGGGGTCGTAGTACATTAGAGTCCCCCCTAGGAGGCCAAATTATGGCCAACACCTTAGTAACAACAGTGATTTTGGCCTTCTCGCAGAAGCCTCCCTCTGGGTGGCCTCTTGGGGCGTCTTAGGGTCTCTCCAAAGTCTCTTGGGGACACCTCGGTGGCCTCTTGGGGGCCTCTTGGGGCCTCCTGTGCACCTCTTTGGGCCCTCTTGCGGCACCCTTGGGAGGTAGCCTCGGGGGGTATCTTGGAAGAGATCGATCAAAGAGGAGGGGCCGTACTACATTAGGGCGACCCCCAGGATGCCAAAAGTTGGCCAGAACCTTAATGAAGCCATTGGTTGCGGCTTCCTCGTCGATGCCATCTTGGACGCTCTAATCCCTCGCGGAAGGCACCGTCCAGGGGCAGGGGGCAGGGGGAGGGGTCAAGGCATCCTTCCCGCCTGCAAGCTGTCTCGTTCACTCCCACCCGCCCTCCCAACACATAAGCAGCACCTGCGTGTTTAGCAATTCCCTGTGGATGGGCAGCTGCTGGGAACCAATACAGACCCCATGTGCGCGATGGGGCGAGATGCGCCACGCGTGCCAGGCGCTCCAGGTGCGCCAGGCACCCCTGGGGCCCAAGCGTGCCAGGCACGCCTTGCGCGCCAGAGTCGCCACGTGCTCCATGTGCGCTATGTGTGCTGCATGGCCCAGCCGCGCCAGGCGTGCCACGTCCGGGGAATGTGCAGAGTGTGCCAGGTGCGCCCGCGAACGTGACAGCACACATCGGGAAACTTGGCAGCCCCTACCAAAACCAGTGCGCAATCGCGGCGGGGAGGCCATCATGGTGTCTGATGGGCCCACACGCAGCAGGCGGCGATATGTCAGCACCCCCGCGGTCCTTGTCAAACGCCAATGGATGCTGATCGTGGGGTGGCCGCGCATGATCCAGATTTAGCCGCGAAGTTCATGTTGTCTTGTTTTGTGACAAGACGCCGGCCGTGCGCAAAGCAGGCAATAAAAGGGCACTCAAGTCGCGCTGCCAATTCCGCTACCAAGGAACCACACATACTTAATTTAACCATTATGTGTTTGCTCATCATAGTCATATTTGCGCAATCCTGCATTCCGAACCCTCGTCGCGGATGTTTCCCACCATTGTTTGAACCTTCTCCCCCTTCCCCGCCTTCTATCCTCCATCGGGGAAAAGTTCGAGGTGGTCACGAGGGCCGTTTCCCAGGTCGGCAACAAGCAATGAGGTAATGCAAGACGATCTGCCACATCGCGGTTAGTCAGGGAGCCCATTGTGGAAGTCGGTGCTAATCAAGTCCCTCGCGCAAACGCTTTAGGGAGCCTCTAGAGTGATCTTTTCTCAATCCTCTCATGCTGCATTCTCCCGCGCCCCTGCCGAACTTTCTCACCTAGGTCGGCCAACGTCTGTCCCCGCGTCTCTTCGACGGAGAGTCTTGCCGACAAGGATGTGCAGCTCGCACATGTCGGTCTTTGGCGTGTCATTGCCATTGCCGCGTCCTTTACTCGCTCCCTTTGCTTTTCCCTTCGGTTTTACTTCGAACAGGCGCGCGAGCACGACGCGGCCGCCCACCGCCGTCCAGGTCTCAGCCTCGTACTCGCTGCGCGCACTGGCGCCTCGTCTGAAGAGCGAGCCAGGGTAATCACAAGACGCGGTG